ATAAAAGATCTTCTACTCGACCTTCATCACTTTAAAATTTGCTACAGCTTGATAGTTTTTAGTAAATTTTATTACAACACAAACTTTTAATAATGTTGTTAGACTGATGAAAGTCTATAAAACATCTTTATAAGAACAGACGGATAAATCAGATAAGAAAATTTATAAAAAAATATATGATCAACCAGAATCACCAGAGAAAAAGGATACTAAAGTATATCATACCAGGTTATCTGAATTGAAAATCTAAAGAATTTGGCAGTTTTGAGTTATAATTAATAAGAAAAAAAGAAGAAGATATTGAAAGGATAGGTACTAGGGTTTGAGTGAATTTTATAAAAATAGAAATAGTTTAATATAACAATTTAAGGTTAATCCTGACTGCAAGTGTTAGGTAACTATAATGTGTTACATAAAACTAGATTAACTGTATATGAGACATGTAAGACTCTAATAACAATGCTTCTAAGGATACATTGCATAAAATAAGATATAAGGTTTTAAGAATATAAATAAACATCTAAACCTTCTTGACTGACTTATGTAACAAAGATAATCTAATAATACAGTAAGGATTGCAATACAGAGGATTTAAATAGGCAACACTTCTAATTAGATTACAAGTATAACAACTAGTATAAAATCATCAATAGACTATTTAATTAGATACCAAAAGTGTATATATAACTAGTTGTACTCTCTAATGTAAGAAGACTCCTTTGAGGCCTTGACTATGAGTTTCTATATCCTAACTACTAAATAAAAACCTAGCTCCAAAAGAAGCTAGTTTAACATAAAAATAAAAAATAAAATAAAGTACTAACATAACTGCTTAAAATTAAAAAAAAAAAATAATAAAATAAAATATTTATAAATTAATATTAAATACTTCAAATAGATATTGTTATTAAAGTAAATCTTTTTAGTAATCTTAAATAAACTTGTTTCTTATACTTTTTTGATTCTAATTATAGCAAGCCTATTAAAATTAAATTAGCAGTTCTTATTTAAAGTTAACCAATGTTGTTAAATTTAAATATAAATAGCTAAAAATTTCTAAATCAATTTTAATTATTAAAATTAAAAAAGTCTAAGAAACAACTTTGCTTAAGACTACTAAAAAAGTTTACTTAATAACAATATTTGTTTTAAAGCATTTTTTGGTTAATAAAAGGTACGACTAAAAAATAATTTACTCAAATTTGGTGTTGTCGATTATTAATTTTTTTAACCAATAAAAATAAGCTTCTGCTATTTTATAATTTGATTGGTTTATATATGTGTATAATATTTATTTTTGAAAGAAAACTCATTTAGACACACTCACTGGAAATACTGGCTGGCCGGAACAATCTGGAAGTCCAGCGACCTTCTAGGCTTCTAGTATGCAACACTGGTCTAGAAGATATCCCATTCCACCTACGCAAGCAAATGTAAACAATATGAACCCCTACGTACGACCGATAGCGGGCATGTCACCGATGGCAGTGACTCCTATGCCGTCGTCCATGCACACGCCTATGCAATCACCATTACCATGTGGTCCCGCTACAAATCAGATCCCGATAGTTGCCAACTCGTATGTTCAGTTTCAAACTCGAGCTGGTGTCGCCACTCAACGAATAAATCAAGGAATGGCCACGCCAACTTCAGTGAAAACTAACAACAGGCGTACGAAGGGTGCTGCAAAGGTAATGGATTAATTTATTAGACTATCGATATTATGAAAATTTTCTAATTCAATTATTATTTCGACAGAGTAAGACATCAATGATTTCTATGGCTGATGCAGTTGCTGATGAAGCAGATGAGCCTTCCGGAGGTAAATTTTATTACGTGTTTTATATTTCTTTTCATGGGATTTTAATCTAAATGTTTCATATTAGATGAACTTGACAATCTAAAATTCCGGGAAGTTTCTATGGCACGATTCAAAAGATGTCATGAGTATATAGCAGAAATTTTCTCTCCTTACAGTATTAGTATGTTACCAAAAAAAAATTTAGTATATGATTTCTCACAAATAATTACAATTATTGATGTTTATCAATTACATTGACTTTTAAATTTAAAGGTGCGATAATACCGCCAGAATCACCATATCAATCAAAAAATATTGAGGAATTAAAAAAACAAATCGTTAGCAGAATCATTAAAATTTTTGAATTGTTCTTATAAACTTATGATATGTTAAATTCACCTATTACACTATCTTTAGGCTGAATCTCAAGCTGAGATTGAAAAGATGACAAGTGAACATTCAGAAAAGATGAAGAATTTTACATCACGAACAGATGCTTTGTCCAAAAGCATGCAGGAAATCAAAAAATGTAATAGTACGGAGGTTAGTTTCTAGATTGTAATTTACAAGTTTTGATTTTTAATATTAAATAGTCCATTTATTTAATTCCTTTCTATTAAAAAGGAATTGTTTAAAATACAAGAAAAGTTAGAAAAAGAATCCGATTTTATAATTGAACCATATGATCATGTGACATTAGTTCAAATACATAATGCGCCTGATTCAGAAACGGATGAAAATGATCAACATGATATGATGCAAGATGATGATGATGATGATGAATTAGATGAAATAGATGAAGAAATAGACAAATATTTTTTTAATGAAGATAGTTTGGACTATGAGGGGATTCTAAGCCAAGACTGTAATAAAGGTATATAGTAATTTTTCCTTAAATAAAGGACTAATTTACATATTCTAGAATATTTTTAAGAACATAACATTTAACAAGCGAAAAAATGTCAATTACGACCCAAAAGAATCAAGCCTAGAGTTTCCATAAGTAAAATTTTCGCTATATATTGTTAGTTTATTACAAATAAAATCAAAAATGGCTAAGTTGCACACGTAAATACAAATGTTAGAACGAATGATTAAATCTTGAAAATAAAGTAACAGAAATGTTCGTAGTTTAAATTTTTCTTGCAAAAGATTAAACCATAATTGGTTAGTCATCGTGTGCTATATGACCATTCAGGAAGTAGACGCACGCTTATGCAGGCGCAACCGGATATTTAATAATAAAATCCGAAGCAGACTTTTACTAATTAAATGGATCCTGTTCCAAACTCTACTTCGGACATACCTAGAACACCAGCTTGATTTATTGGGGTGCTATCATCGGTCTAATTACAATATAATGCGGGTCATATATTGAACATAGGTGTCACAAAAAATGCGCTGATTAGGGTTAATTTACATGGTAAGTTATGCTGCAACTTATAAACTCATACAGGGAATCATGGTTCCGACTCGGAAATTTGGGGATCCTCCTGTATAAGTTGCAACTTATAAGGCCTTTATGTAAGTACAATATAGATATTAGAGCTGGTCGAATAATGGGACAATTTCTACCAACATTAACATTGACATTTTATTTGAACTTATATAACTTACAATAAATTTACATCAATAAAATACATGTAACTTACATGATTTTGGACAAATTTCTGGTTTGCATTATACATAACTTTGGTCAGAATTAATTTTATTTAATTCTAAAACAGGAAATTTTTAAGGATTTGGCCTTTCCAATAATAAAGAATGTTTACTTAATTACTGGGTTAAGCCCAGGTTATTGTCTTAAGTTTAGGATTATTTTATTTTTAAAGTAAACTTCTTAAAGTTTTTTTGCATTTATTTTAACAGATAACTTGGTATCATTATGACAAAACTAACATTTACAGTCAGAATTATATTATTTAATCATTATGTTCTTATAGATTTCACTTGAATTTTAGTATCTACTTTATAGCATATTCCTAGTACTTTAGTATATTTTTGTTTTTTTATTAGATTCTCAATCTAGATAGTTTATATAAAATTATAATCAATTCATTAATATATTAGATTAGCTTAATATTTTTTTTCTCTGATTTATTTTAGTAGTCTGGTTGGTAATATTTCTGAGACTCTTAATCTGAAGGTTCTTGTTTGTTTGAATATTATGACCTTGGTATCTGTTATTAGATTTAGCTTTTACAATAACATTATTGAAGATTTGTATTATTTTTTTACTCAAATCTTTCTAAATAAATTTTTTGTTTTTTAATTTTAAAAGATTTATACAATTATAAGAACTTATTTGGAGTTTGCATTGTCTGATATTAATTTGTATTTTTCTGTATAATGTTATACTTATACAGATATCTTATGACTTGTTAGTAATAGGTGTGATGATCTAGTGAAATAGATAGGTTGTCAATTCTTAAATAGCAGATCTAAGATTTAATTTCTATAAATGACAAATTTTGAAAATTATACCTGTATTATGATAATTGTCTCTTGCTGATTAGTTAGGTTTTGGGCATCTGTAATCTTAGATATACCAAGTTGGGTCTTACCTAATATTGGAAGCTTGGGATATCTATATGAAGTATAACATTATACATATATAAAGAAATATGAAAAACTGATATTATATAAAACTTTGATGCAAACTCATAATAAGACCACCAGGTGTAGAAGGTTAAGAAACTGAGAAAATGAAAACCTACTTGAAAATCTTAAGTAAGAAGATAGCATAAACTTTCAATGATAGACTAATAGAAGTCTATAAAACATCTTTATAGAAACTGTCAAATAAATTAAATAACAAGATGTGTAAAAAAGCATATAATTAATTAGGCCACCAAAATCAGTAAAGAAAAAGGATGCATAAGTATACTATACTAGGCCATCTGGATTAAAAGTTTGAAAAGTTAGTTGGTTCTAAGTTACGACTAGTAGGAAATAATAAAAAAGAAGTCGAAAAGATGAGTACCAGAATTTGAGTAAACTTTATAAGAGTAATAGCAGTTTAATAAATAATCTTGACTGCAAGTGTTGGTCTTGGCCATAGGTTAGCAGTAAAAGAGAATATAGCTCACTCTGATAGGCTTATTTTAAGAATAAAAATAGTTTAAGGATTATAGTTTTATGCTTAAAAGTGAATATATCTGAGTCTGTAATCTAATAAAATTAATATTAAGGTTAAATTAGAGAGTTTAAATGAAACATTTAAACAGAAGTGTTAAATATAGCAACTAGTGAAGAATTTTCAAGCAGACTTTTTAAATAAATAATATAGAAAAGTTATATATATTGCTAGTTGTACACTTATCTGATAGTTTAATATAGATATGTCTATATAAAACATGTATCCAATATAAGTATTAATAAAAAGCTAGAATCAAAGAGATTACTTTAATACTGAAAAAAAAATTTAACTTGCTAGTTATATTAGTATGATTACTATTATAAATATCTTAATTCAATCATTAGAAACTGTTATTATAATATAAATATTATATATATGATTATTTAAATTTTTATTATTGATAATAACAACTCTTCTCAATGATCACTTGTACTGAATTTCATACTAACAAAAATGGAAAACTTATTGGAGAAAGCAGAAAAGGCTACTATATAAATAATGGTTTTTATAAAAGTCAAAGTGGTTCTTCTACACTGAACTCCTTTATATATTTAGCAAGCAAACTAAAAGCATGCATATACAAGATAAGTAGCAGGAGGTGCCCTTGTATAACAAATTTTAGTAGAAGTTTTGATTTCTGTTAATGAAGTTAAAATAGTAGGCCTTATAGAAGAACAATAAGCAAGTTTTCAACATACTCATTAGAAATTTAAGAATACCTGCTAACTGAACATCACTACCATATTCCTTACTTAGTTTTTTGACAGAAGTTTTTATAAGAAATGGGAATTTAGCATACCTCCTATGAAAGATCTACAGAAATCGTCCATTTTGGGAATAGGAGAATCATCACTTTTCTGGAACTAGGAGTAACTCTAATCAGAGTGAAAGAGTTAGCTGTAGAACTGGTAGAAAAGAAATTAAACACTGACATCTCTATCATTAAATGATATTTACATATAGTATAGACCTATTTCTAGAATAG